GTGAGATACAGGCACCCTATGTCATGTAAGTGTTAATGTGCTTTGGATAGTTTCTGTTTTGTTCTGTTCTCTTCTGTTTAAAAAGGTTGCTCTCAATCTACTGAATGGGAGATAACCTGCATTTTGAAAAACACTGCAATTTGTACTCATTATTTGTAGTATATATTCAGCTTTTAATGTAAAAGTGTAAATCTGCTTTGTCAGTGGTCCTGTTTTTATTTTCTTTTGGTTTACAGTTGTCATTAAAAATGAGATTAGTTGCTATTCTAAGTGTAGTTACAGTTATACTTAAAAAGCTTCAGAAAGAAAATAAAATACAATAGATTACTTCTTTTCTGATGTAATTTTTCAATATTTTCAGCATGAAGTTTTAAAATGAGTTATCCTTGGGCATTCAGTAGTCTGTGTGAAAGAATTGAAATTGATATTAAAAATGTAAAATACTGCCTTCCAAAGAAGTTCGAATGTATGCTGTCTTGGGATCTTCGCTATTCTTACCAAAATGCTCTTTGTTCTAGAGATAACTGATTTTATACAATCATTCAGTTGCTTTAATATGATAGGACCTAGGTAAGACTTTAATTGTCAGAGATCACTGAACCTTATTTTTTATAAGTGCACAGCACATATCACCCTGACCAGTGTGGCTCAGCTGGTTGGAGTATAGTCCCCTGAACTGAATGTCATGGGTTCAATTTCCAGTCAGAGCATACACCCAGGTTGTGGGTTCGATCCCTGGTCAGGGTATGTATGAGAGAGAAGGAAACCAATTGATGTTTCTCTGTCACATCAATGTTTCTTTTTCTCTCTTTCCCTTGTTTTTCCTCATCCTCTCTCCCCTCTTCTTTCTGTAAAAGCAATGAAAAAATACCCTCTAGTGAGGATAAAAAAAAAGTACGTAGCACATATCTAGAAATTAAGTAGTTCTCATTTCAGTAGCATAGTCATAACTATTGTGTTAGAAATTTTTCCTTATTATATCACCTGGCAAGCATATTTCATGGCTAGTTCTTACTGCTTTGTGATTCTGGATTGACTTCAATAGAGACAAGACATATTCTCAGAGTGAACACATTCAATCTAAAATAAAGGTTGGAATGTTATTTTATTTATGGCATTTGTTAATTATCACCAGTATTCTAGGTACATAAAATATATTGGATCTTTTTTTATTTTTAAAGAAGCATATTTAAGCAGTGGAATATGAGTAGAGAACTCATGGGCATGGACAATACAGGAAGTGACTGTGGGATTGAGGGGGGATGGGATTGAGGTGAGCAGGGGGAAAGTGTGGGACAACTATAACTGAATAACAATAAATTTTAAAAAATCCATGAAATAAAAAGGGAAACTCCTTCAAAATATGAATAGAAAAAGAAAAAAGTTAAATGCAAAATGTGCAAATAAATTTTATTTCTTGGCTCTGAAAAAAGAGAAGCATATATAAAGGTTAGGACAAATCTGAGTTCAAGCTGGAGGGGGTCAAATTATATAGATAATCCTGTCCTTTTATTATGTTATTGTCATTTTGGGAAATCTGAATGGTTTTGCTTCCTGTAAAGGAAAAGTTTAGTAAAAATAAGATCTTTTGGCAAAAATAAGTTACCAGAAAAATAAAAGCATAAAGATCATAGTAATCCTACCATTTAGAGAAAACCACTTAGTACTATTTCGTTATATTTCTTTCTAGTTGCTCTGTGCATTCTTTGTTTGTTTGAATCTTTAGAGGGACAGATACATGAACAGATAATTTCAGTTTGATGTGGTGGGTGCTAAGTTCAAAACAGTAAGAACAAAAGTTAAGAGAATTCCTAGGCAGTATGAAATGTGAGGTTACTTGTGAGTTTCCCATGAAGTTTTGTCTTGTTATTTAGATTGGCAACATAAGCATTTTATACTTTTAGATCTTCTTCATTAATTTAATATGCAAAATTCTATTCTCCTGTCCCTTTAGGATTTATTTGTAATTGGTTCTTATTAGAAATACTGCTTACTGGCTGGTGTAGCTCAGTGGATTGAGTGCGGGCTGCGAACTAAAGTGTCACAGGTTCGCAGTCAGGGCACATGCTTGGGTTGCAGGCCAGGTCCCCAGCAACTGCACATTGATGTTTCCCTCTCTTTCTCTCCCTCCCTTCCCTCTCTAAAAATAAGTAAATAAAATCTTTAATATTTATTAAAAAAAAGAAATATTGCTTAAAGAACATTCTTTTGTCTATAACTCCACTCCTTCAGACATTGAATTCTTTTTGTTCTAAGCTTTATTGAGATATAATTGACAAATAAAATTATATTAAACTGTATATGTGATAATTTGATATAAGCATATATTGTGAAAGCATCCTCGCCAGAATTAACACATTCATCACCTCATATATTTACCATTTTTTATGTGAGAACACTTAAGTTCTGCTCTCTTAGCAAATTTCAATCATACAAAATGGTTTTATTAACTATAGTCATCATATACATCATATTAGATTCTCAGACTGAATCATGTTATAACTGAAAGCTTGTAACCCTTCTAGTTTCTTCCTATTTTCCCTATCCCCCAGACCCTGGCAACCACATTTTACTCTTTATGAATTTGACTTTTATTTTGTAATAACCACATATGTAATATCATGTAGTATTTGTCTTTTTCTGTCTGGCTTATTTCACTTCGTATAATGCTTTCCAGGTCCATCCATGTTGTTGCAATGTCAGGGTTTCCTTCTCTTATGGCTGATGTTACAGGGTGGAGCAAAAGTAGGTTTACTGTTGTTTGTGTGGAAAATGATAGAGTAATTACTATGTAATAATACAAGAATAAACTGTTCTGTATAATGACAGTTATAAACCTATTTTTTCCCTACCCTGTATTTTATTAGGTTAATGTCTCATATGTTTTTTATCCATTTGCCTGACATCATTGGACACCCAGTGTCTGCATACCTTGGCTATTGTGAATAATGTTTCATTGAAGATGGGAATTCAGATACCACTTTGAGATAGTGATTTTGTTACTCTTGGAAAAATACCCAGAAATGAGTATCAACTTATATGTCCACAAAAGTACATGTACATTTCCTATACTGTTGGACATCAATTTTTAAAATATTTTCTGATATTAAATATTATATATAATATAGATTATTTAAATAATGTAAAAACTTTATTATTTTTTATTTCTCTCAGTAAGATTGGATACTTTTTTCTTATCTTTGGTTGCTATTTACTGTATTCTCGGACTATTTATGTTATTTCCTGGGTTTTCTTAAAAAAGCATTTCTCCAAATAATAGGTGTGCACTTGAGAGAGAAAGTAGTTGGCTGGTTGCCCTTGTCGCTAATGGTTCGGATAGGACTTTGAGTTCTTTTAGATGGGGTATTACCTGAGGAATTGATTGAAGAAAACATGTTCGTATAGATCACTGATTTTCTACTGGAGTGCTGCAGCACACTGATGTGCCGTGAGAATTTTGAAAGCATTCAGTACCTGGCTATTTTAGTCAGGGTCACTGACCTCTTTTCTCAGTCAAATTAGAAGGACAACAGTCAACACAACAGTAACTGGCTGGTGTGAATGAATCAAAATTATACCTATTTTTTTTGTTAGATAGGCAAAAAATATGGTATTTTTTGATGTGCTGAAGAATTTTATTAATTAGTTTATATATGCCATGAAATGAAAAAAGTTAAAAAGTCACTGGTATATAGATAATAGATCAGAATTAGGCCTGGTGACAGAATATTTTTTATAGATACCTTGTTTCACATCGTAATGATGAGCACCCAGTGTGTTATTTGCCCTTTACTTATGAGTAACTGCAATTGCAAACATAAAGTGCAAACAGGGGCATTAAAATTGCCATAATAAATCTGTTTTAAGGTAGCTATACAGGTGCAGTGGCATTGACATTAGGTGAAAATACTCTGCTTTAAGGTAGCTCATCAGATCATCTGTAATGTGCTTATTAATTTTTAAGAAAATCATTAAAATGAAAGCACAAAATTCTTATGTAGAACTTTTAAACTTCCACAAATAAGTCTACAGGCTCCAATTTGAGAATCACTCTGTTAGCCCTTAAGAAAGATACATGCTTCTATAGTTTTATATAAAATTCAACAGATTTAAAATTGCTCTTTCAAATCACTATAAAAATTTCTAAATTTCTAAATTCGTATTCTTTATTTCTACACTGAACTTTCATGAAATAATGATAAATAGTTCACAGACTGGCATTAGCCCATGCATATACTTTGATTGGAATTATAATAGAAAATAAAAGAAGGAAGTGAGCAGAAAAGTAAAATGATGGGATAAATCAGAAAAAGGAAAATAAAAGTTAAGCAAAATAGACATAGTAAGTGAAAATAAAGTTCAAGAGGATATTGAAGAGTGAAAATTAACTAAAAAATAATAATTTAATCTCAAAAGGAAAATTTGAGCAAAGAGCCAGTAAGATGTTGTGGTGTGGTGTTAAACATTTATTGAAAGATAACTAAAGAAATAAAGTCAATTAAAACAATGCAATATAATTTTAAATTTTAAGTGATTAGGATATTGTGGAGAAAACAGATTTGTTTGACCCCTCATGAGCATATTCCACTTGTGTCGCTGTGCAGTGTGGTTCAGCTAGACTTCACCTGAGCCGTGGTTCTCAGCTAATGCCTGAATGTGGGATCACAGATGCCTACCCATCAAAAACTCCAGAGCAGTGTTGACATTTCTAGCTAGACAGATGATAAATTTGACATTTTAAATAAGGGAGCAGTATGTATTTAAAAGTCCAAATATCTATATGCAGATACCAGAATCCTGCAGCCAGGAGGAAGCTGCTAAATTAGCACTGACTTTATATGTGTGTCTGATATGTAAGTTTATTTGTTGAATCTTAGATGCCATTGATCTATTTTAATATTTGGGTAGAATATAACATGCATTTTTTATAAGATCAAGAAAAGATATCTTCTCTGTCTACTCATATAAATTATGTTAATACTGCACTTTTTTCATTGTAGGCCCAGATTATTCTTCTTCAGCATGGTTACCTGGTAGTGAATCACTGTGGCAGGCCACAGCTCTTCCATCCAGCCACCGAAATAACCACATCAGGAGACACAGTATAGCTTCCGACAGTGGTGACACTGGCATTGGGACTTCCTGTTCCGACAGTGTGGAAGGTGAGCTAAAATTCTTAGTGTTTCAACATGACTGTTCGGAGGATGGTTGAATTGAGAACATTCAAGGGATGTGTTTTATTGTTTCAAACTAAAAAATTTAAAAGTAGTGTTTGAATATTTAATGTTGGTCAGTGTTGTTATATTTCAAAATGAAATTGCCCCTCTGATCATATTTAGTTTTCCTTCATTCACTTTTTTACTTATTTATTTGAAATAAGTTGCAGACTCATATGCAATTTTAAGAAATAATACAGAGATTCTATGTACACCTCCCACCCTATGGTTATATCTTATAAAACTATAGTACAGTATCACAACCAGGATATTGACATTGCTACTGTCAAAATACAAAACATTTCTATCACCAGAGAATACCTAAGGTTGCTCATGCCCACTTTCCCCACCTCCCTTAACTCTTAGAAACCATGAATCTCCATTTCTGTAATTTTGTCATTTCAAGAATGCTGGGTAAATGCAATCATATAGTATGTAGCCCTTTGGAATTGGGTTTTTTCACTGGGGATTCATCCCAAATGTTGTGTGTATCAATAGTTCATTCCATTTATTGCTGAGTAGTATGTATACAACAATAGTGGCATTGAATAGACCATAGTTGCTTAACCTTTTACCCATTGAATGATATCTGGATTATTTCTAGGTATTTGCTGTTAGGGATAAAGCTGCTACAAGCATTCACGTACAGATTTTCATGTGAACTGATGTTTTTACTTCTCTGTGGTAAATGTCTGTGCAGTTGGTGGGCATATGGCAGCTGCATGCTTAGTTTTGAAAGAAACTATCACACTGTTTTCCAGGGTGACTTTTCCATTTACATTAGAAATGGCTTAGTAGGAGTAATCTAGTTTTCTCTTCATCCTTGCTAGCATTTCATGGTTTTCAAAGTTTAGTTTATTTGAAAGGAATGAAGTAATATCTTACTGTGGTTTTAATTTGCAGTTCTTGAAAGACTAATACTGTTGAACATTTTTTCACATGCTTATTTGCCATTTGTTTATTTTCTTTGGTGAAGTATCTCTACCTGTCTTGCTTATGTTCTAATTGGATTATTTCCTAATTTTACTGTTGAGCATTGAGAGTTCCTTGTATATTTTAGATACTAATCCTTTGCTGGCCATGTGGTTTGCAAATATTTTCTTCTATTCTGTAGCTTAGCTTTTCATCCTCTGACAGTGTCTTTTGCAGAGGAAGAGTTTTAAATTTGATGAAGTCAAGTGTTGTATCGGTTTTTCCTATATGGTGCATTGGGGTCAAGCCTAAGAACTCTTTGCCTCTTACCAGGTCTTGAAGATTTCTTTTTTTTTTTTCCTAAAGTTTTATCATTTTATATTTCAAATTTAAGTCCATAATTCATTTTGAGTTAATTAAAAAAAATAAAGTATGTGTGTTGAGGTGTCCTTAAGACCATTTTTAGGCTCAGCGTTTTGCTAGAAAGAATCACAGAACTCAGAGAAGCTGTTATGCTGATGGGTATGGTTTTGTTACAGCAAAGGGAGACAGATTTCAATCATGAAAAGTAGAAGCAAAGGGCAGAGTCCAGGAGACCACAGGCCTAAATATTCATTTGGCCTCTCCCAGTAGAGTTGTATGGACAGTGTTTATCTCCCAGCAATGATGTGTGACAGCACATATGGAGTATTGCTAACCAGGCAAGGTCACCTGAGCCTCAATGTGCAGGGTTTTTATTTACTGTGAGCTGGTTATATTGGCATGGTTGACTACCTGTGTGGATGACTTGAGTCTTTTGCCTTTGAGAGGTCAAGGTGATATCACATGATTCAAGTCTCCCACCATAAACAGGTTATTAGTATAGACTATATGGAGTGATCCAAAGTAAACAAAGACACTGTCATTAGATAGGATATTCCAAGGGTTTAGAGGTCACCTATTAGGAACTGAACAAGGCCCATGTTTTTCTTGGAATGTGCAGCATGTGGGAAGCCCAGACCTGCTGTCCTTTATGCACAGTGTGGACTTAGATCAAAGTTCATTTTCTTTGCCTAATAAATCTTAAAATCGGGTAGAATAATTATTCCCACCTTATTTTTTCAAACTTCTTTTAGCTATTCTGGTTCCTTTGTTTTCTACATATCTTTCAGAATGATTTTGTGTCTACAAAATACCTTGCTGGGATTTTAATAGGAATTGTGTTGATTATAAATACGTTTGGGGAGAACTGACATTTTTACTCTGTTGAGTCTTTCATTCATTAACATGGTATGTTTCTCCATTTACTTAGATTTTAATTTAATTCATTAGTGTTGTGTAGTTTTCAGCATATATGTCCTGTGCATGCTTTGTTAGATTTATACGTAAGTATTTCATTTTGGTGGAGTTATTGTAGATGGCATGATAGCTCCAATTTTGGTGTCAGTGAGTTAATTGTCATGACATAGAAATACAATTGATTTTTATATGTTTATCTTGTATTTTGTGACATTGCTGAACTCACTCCTTAGGTCTAGGAGGTTTTTGGTAGATTGCTTGGGATTTTCTCTGCAGGCAGTTATGTCATCTGTAAATAAGGATGTTTTTCTTTCTCATCTGTATGCCTTTTATTTCCTTTACTTATTGCAGTGGGTAAGACAACCAACACATTGCTGAATATGAGTAGTAGCAGTGGACATCCTTGCCTTTTTTCTGATCTTACAGATAAAAAAAAATTCATTCTTCTACTGTTCAGTAGCTGTATAACAGCTATTAGCTGTAGGTATTTTGTAGATACCATTTATCAATTTGAGGAAGTTCCCCTCTAGTCCTACTTTGCTTAGAGTTTTTAAAATAATGAATGAGTATTGGATTTTACAAATGCTTTTTCTGTATCAATTGATGTATTATATTCTTTTTACCTTGTTCACATAGTAGTCAATTTCATTGCTTGATTTTTCAACTTGAGTCAGCTTTCAACTCCACTTGATCATAGTGTATACTTCTTTTTACATATTGCTGAATTCGCTGTGTTAATGCTTTATAAAGGATTTTTTGTTGTCTATCCATAAGGGATATTGGTCTTTAGTTTTCTTTTAGGGGTACTGTCTTGTCTTGTTTTGATATCAATATAATACTAGCCTTATAAAATGAATTGGGAAGTGTTTCCTCTTATTTTCTGGAAGAGATTGTATTGAGTAGTGTTATATCTTCTTCAGTGTTTGGTAGAATTCTTTAGTAAAACCATCTGGTCCTAGGGATTTCTTTTTTCCTAGATTTTAAATAATACGATTTCCTTAATAGTTATAGGGCTATTCAGATGATCTCTTTGAAGTTGGATGAGTGGTAGTTTTTTGAGGGAAATGGGGGAAGTAGTCCACTTTGTTTAAGTTGTCAAATTTATGTGTGTAGAGTTGTTCATAGCATTACTGTCTTCCCTTGGTATCTGCAGCCTTTGTAGTGAAATCCCATTTTATTTATGGTGCTGGTATTTTGTATCATCTTTCCTTTTGCATTTTTTGGTCTTGGTAGCAGTTTGTCAATTTTATTGACCTTTGCAAAGAGTTAGCTCTTTGTTTCATTAATTTTCTCTTTTTTTCTGATTTTGATTTTAACTGGTTATTATATTCTTTCTACTTTAGGTTTATTTTGCTCTTTTTCTAAGTTTTAAGGTAGGGAATTAGATTATTGATTTGCAACAAAAATTTTCTTCTTTTTATATATATTTAATTTTTATGTATGTATGTATTTATTTATTTAAGAGAGAGGGGAAGTGAGGGAGAAAGAGAGGGAGAAAAACATCAATGTGTGGTTGCCTCATATGTGGCCCCCACTGGGGACTTGACCTGCAACTGAGGCATGTGTTCTGACTGGGAAACGAACCTGCGACCCTTTGGTTTGCAGCCTGCGCTCAATCCACTGAGCTATACCAGCCAGGGCTCTTCTTTTGATATATGTGATTTAGTGCTATAAATTTCTCAGCCCTGCTTTACTATGTCCCACAAATTTTGATAATTTGTTTTCATTTTCACTTAGTTCATTGAATTTTTAAAAATTTAGCTAGAGACTTCCCTTTGATTCTCCAATAAGAGTTCCTTGTTTAGTTTCGAAATGTTTGGAGATTTTCCCATTGTCTTTCTGTAATTTCGAGTTTGAGTTCATTGTGGTCAGAAACACACATTGATTTCAGTCCTTTTAAATTTCTTGAGGTCTGATTTCAGTCTTAGCATATGGTCTATTTGCTATACATTCTGTGGGTACTTGAAAAGAATGTGTATGAGATCCTGTTTGTTGATAGTATTGTTGAGTTTTTCTATATATTTTAAAAATATATATAGTTTATTCATTGTGCTATTCCAGTTGCCCCAGTTTTTCACCCTTTGCCCCCCTTTGCCCAGTATCCCCATTCCCTCCGGCAATTTCTTGTTAGTTTATGTGCATGGGTTGTGCATAGAAACTCTCTGGTTTTCCATTTCCTATACTGTTCTTAATATTCCTCTGTCTATTTTGTACCTACCAATTATGCTTCTTAATCCCTGCCCCCTTTCCCCCGTTCTTCCCCATTCTTGTCCTTTTTTCTCCCACCTGGTAATTGCCCAAATGATTTCCATACCTGTGATTCTGTTTTCTGTTCTGGTTGTTTGCTTAGCTTGTTTTTTTAGGTTCAATTTTTGATAGTTGTGAATTTGTTGCCATTTTAATGTTCATAGCTTTGATCTTCTTTTTCTTAAATAGGTGCCTTTAACATTTCATATAATAAGGGCTTGGTGATGATGAACTCCTTTAGCTTTATCTTGTCTGGGAAGCACATTATCAGCCCTTAATATTCTAAATAATATTTTTGCTGGATAGAGTAATCTAGGTTGTCGATCCTTGCTTTTCATCACTTTACTCCTTGCCAGTCCCTCCTTCCCTGAAAAATTTCTTTTAAGAAATCAGCTGATACTCTTATGGGAACTCCTTTGTAGGTAACTCTCTCCTTTTCTCTTGCTACTTGTAAGATTCTCTCTGTATCTTTAACCTTTGGCATTTTGACTAAGATGTGTCTTGGTGTG